ACTTGCACAAGGCAGGGTATGCCCTTGGGAAAAGTCATGTGTCGTGTGTCTGGGGGTGTGGGGTTGGGGGGAGTTCGCCGTCCGGTGTCCTAGCCCTTCCTGTGCAAGCAGATGCTAAAATCCACACACACAAACACCAGTGAAGTACAGTTCTCATTAACCTCCTTTGCCATCCCCTCCCCCCACACCGTACCCAAATACTGCCCACAGCTAGGTGCCCATTACAAGAGTGAGAGTAGCTAAAAGGGGTGAAGATCTATAGATGGAAGGGGATCAGCCTTGGTTTTTCAATGTTGACACCGGGCAATGGGTACATGAAGATTCATGATACTCTTCTCTCTTATTTTGTAAATATTTAAAGGTTTCTGTAATAAACGAGTATAAAATAATAAATAAGAGGAAAGAGAAATAGCCAGGTGGGCAGCTGTGTGTGAGCGAGGACATATGGCTTCTCTCTCCAGATTCCTCAGGCGCTCAGAAAAGACCGGCGGCACATCTGGGAGAGCCTCAGAACCACGGACCCTCGATAGCACCTTCTCCCCTCCGAACATGACGGGGACACTACTCATGTCCTTGGTCAGCTGCCTCATTGCCATAAGTCAGGCCAGCCTCATCAATCGCTGTGACTTGGCCAGGGTGCTGCACAAGGAGGACTTGGATGGGTTTGAGGGCTACTCCCTCAATGACTGTGAGTGCTGCTTCACACACTCCCCCTCCCCCATTTCTCCTCCTCCTCTGGTCATGCCCTAGGTGGCCATCTTTCTCCCTGTCATTCATTTTTCAAAGCCAAGTTCAAAAAGGAGCCCTCCCCAAGAAGCCCTTCCCAACATTCCAGATCCAGCCCACAATTATTCGCTGAGCATTTATCATGTACCGGGAACTATTTTCGGTGCTGGGGATGGAGACATCAACAAAGCCCCTTCCTCCATAGTGTTCACATTCTAGGGGGAGAGGCAGACAAGACGCAAACACACAACTATATATGAAGTACTTCCAGTAGTGATAAAGGTTATGCAGAAGAAGAAAGCCAGGGCCGTGATAGGTGATGTTGTCCTAGAAGGGGAAGTCGAGGAGGTGACATTGAGTGGCACTGGTCACCCAGGGTCTGGGGAAGAGTGCTCCAGGCAGAGGGAGCAGACAGTGCAAAGGCTTCATCCTCCTCCATGGTAGGAATAACTCCCTTTTGCCCAGAATTTGTGCACACCGGCCTTGTGCTGTCTTATTTCTCCTTTTATCTTGTTTTGTGGCTTTTTAAGGTAGGTATCTTCATTCTCCTACTATAGGCCCCTTGAAGGCAACATCTACATTTGAGCCAGCTAAGTGTCCCGCACTTGGCTTTGCACAGTTCCTGACACACAGTAGGTGATCATTAAGTGCAGGAAGCATGGATGGACAGATAGGTGATGAGTGGTTGTACTGAGGGGCGGGTGGGTGGGACGAAGGGTGAGGGGAGAAGCACATGGGTGTTTCTAGCCCACTTGCCCCATCCAGCCTCTTAGGCCTTGTTCCTTTCTTCTGCTTCCTGATCTCCCTCTCTCCTCCAAACCACTCCTCCCTCAAGTCGGCACCCTCTGAAAACCCTCTGCTCCCTGTTCAAAGGGCTGTGTCTGGCTTTGGTGGAAAGCAAATTCAACATATCAAAGGTAAATGAAAACGCAGACGGCAGCTTTGACTACGGAATCTTCCAGATCGACAGCCACTCCTGGTGCAATGATTACCAAAGTCACTCAGAGAACATCTGCCACGAGGACTGTCAAGGTCTGGCCAGGGCCCCAGGGTGGGAGAGGTGAGAGGGAGGACCAGGCTCTACTCACAGGACTCCTCTTCCCACTCAAAGCCTGGGAATATCCCCAGAGGGACGGCCCCAGGAGTCCATTTCACCCAGCTTTTCATGCAATGGAAATTATTTTGATGCCCATGTTACAGATGAGCAAACTGAGGCTCATAGAACCAGTGCTGAATGCCAGGCTGGTGGCCCTGAAGGCTCAGCTCTAACCATCTAACCACTCACTTTGGCTAATGATCTGATTAAAGGCCAAGTGCAAACTCCCCACCTCAAAGCCACTCCAGGAGGCTCCATAGGTCAATGACTTGGACCTTCTCCCCTTCCTTCATACTCTGATTAATATCCCTGGACTCTTCACCTGAAGAGCCTTTCTGATCAGCCAAGATTACCTGGGTCTCTGTGCTCCTGTTCTGACATTTCCTTTCCCTAGAAATCCTCAAATGTGGGCTGAACCACCATCTACCCTAGTTAGGAAGTACGATGATAAACAGTCGTCCTGCCCCCCCTGCCCTCACCCCCAACACCCCCGACCGCCATTGGAGGGGTGTCTAAATGGTCCTCTGGAAGGGAGGTCCTCTTGCTTAATCTGGAAGTGCTCAGCCCCCGGGTGGTGCGTGCCAGCGCAGGGACAGCCCGTGTCTGCCTCAGTCTTCGGGGTGGTCCTCTGTGTTCTCACAGGTGCTCGCTCTCTCTCCCTTTCAGACCTACTGAGGCCCAGTCTTCTCTCAACCATCAGCTGTGCAAAGAAGATTGTGTCCGGAGCAGGGGGCATGAAGAACTGGTGAGGAGGACACGGTGGGACGAAGTTAGTGGGCAGAGCCCCAGGAAGGATGTAGTGACAGAGGAAGGCGCACTAGGCAAGGACTAGACCCTTTCATAGTCTAGAAAGATGTGGAAGAGTGGCAGGGCTTGGACTCTGACTTACAGGACCTGGGATCTGGGTCTTTCTCTGATGTATTAAAACTCTTTTGGGGGGCGCCTGGCTCAGTCAGTTAAGCGTCTGACTCCTGATTTTGGCTCAGGTCATGATCTCAGGGTCGTGGGATTGAGCCCTGCATCAGGCCACCCGCTCAGTGGGGAGTCTTCTTGGGATTCTCTCTCCCTCTCCCTCTGCTCCTCTCCTCATTCGTTCTGTCTCTCTCTCGAAAATAAATAAATCTTTTAAAAAATTTAAAAAAAGAAAACTCTTTTAGATGCGGTAACAGAGTAACTTGAGTTAGGTGAGGGAGGTGTATCCTGAGGGCACGAGGTGTCTCACTGAGCGGACGCAGGTGCGGCTGGACTTCAGGAAGAGAGCGCAAGCAGAGCTGGAAACTGTCAGCAAGCTTTTCCTGGCAAGTTCCTGCTTCCTGGTGCATTTGTTTCACCACTTCCTTCATAGAGCAGCATTCTCTGCTCCACATTCCACAAGACTGACTAAGGCTGCCCCCAGTTGATGGGCTAATGTCCTCAGCGGCCACAGAGACTGCCCAGGCTCAGTCCCAGTCCAAGTGCCCGGGATAAAGAATCTGATTGGTTCAGCTTGGACCCAGTGTCCCTGCTTAGTTCAATCAGCTGGAGGCCTGGGAGGCCTGGGAGCAAGTGAGCTATGCCATCACAGTTGCCACAGGGATCCCTCTCCCTGATTGGCAGCAACATTCTTTTTTATTTCTAAGATTTTATTTATTTATTTGAGAGTGAGAGAGCGAGCACACAAGCGGGGGGGAGAAGGAGAGAGAAGAAGACTCTCTGCCGAGCAGGGACTCTGATTTGGGGCTCGGTGTGGGACTCGATCCCAGGACCCTGGGATCATGACCTGAGCCGAAGGCAGACATTTAACCAACTGAGCCACCCAGGCGTCCGGGGCAGCAACATTTTCTGTAAATGGTGGATAGCTTCTCAGCTGAGCAGATAACCCAAAGCTGTCAGCTTACCAGTGGTGGACACTGGGATGGTTACTTCACTCTTCTGAATTTCAAACCGGATATCTACAGGATGTAGTGACAGAGGAAGGCACACTAGGCAAGGACTAGACCTTTCTAGTCCTCTCTAGGCGTCTGTGAGGATGGAGGAGTCACGTGCCTTGCCTACTCTAGAAACACCAAGCAGAGGGGACACTGATGACTATTAGGGCTGACCCTTTCTGGAGGGAGAGTCAGTAGTTGCGCCTGAGATTGATTGATTATTTATCTTTTTATTTATTTAGTAAATCTCAGCCTCGTAAAATGGTGATCTCCCACTTCAGAGGGAGATAGGATTTGAAAATGTGGAAGCATACTGAATGGGGGAAGCGGACAAACACCAGAGATAAGGGAAATTTAAAGGAAGAATCAGAGGGGCCACAGGGAATGAAGGAAGTTCTGAGCACTGCTCTGCCTAAGAGACTCACAAAGAGTTGGGCCACGTATGTGGAGAAGGAGCTTACTAAACGGTAAAGCAAGAACCAATCTTTCTCTCCGCAGGGTAGCGTGGAGGTTGCACTGTGCAGGCCGGCCCCTCTCCTACTGGATGACAGGATGCTTCTTGGGATGAGATGGGGGAAGGGCTGCTGTGGAGTCATTTCAGAGTTCCTCTTCTCATTCGGGAATCTTCATTTCCTCTTCCTCTTGCCTCCACTTCGTGTTATTTTCTTTCCTTCCCATTTACAAAGAAAACTGACCAGAGCCCCAGAAATAGATGGTTTTCTCAGGCTTCCTCCTTGCACCCATCTGGGCCTAGGCCTCTGGTTCCTGACTGTCATTGCAAACCAAGAAGACCACAGTGAAGAAGTTGTTATATTTTGGGAATTATTAAAGCATTCCTTGTGCAAAGAATGTGTTGTTATTCATTTTTAATTCCAGATATATCTGAATACCTAATCTCGTAGGAGTGTGGTAGGTACTAGAAGAAGGAAAATAAACCATAACTATTGTTCCTGAGGTGTTCATAATCTACCCAGAGACATACACAATTAATGGGTACAATGAGTGGATACATACAATGAATACAATGGATAATGAAATGGGTAATAAAATCTACAACTTTTGGTTTGAAACAGCATCAGGATCCCAGTTATTCCTCCAAAGCCAACTATATTCAAAGTAAAAGAGAAAGTTCAGAGGTAGGTAATGGGTGGGGCTAAGGGTCTTGGATAGCGAGGTGGAGAAAGTGGTGTTGGGGCCAATAGATGGTGCCAGGTGCCAATGATTTGGGTGGTTTCAGAGAATGGGCTAAAATCTAGATGTTAAAAAAAAAAAAGGCATCTCTGTTTGGGATCTGAAGGTGCTGATGTGGACAAAAACCTGCATAAGGACAATGCAAAACAGAAAAGGGGCCGTTGGAGAAATGTCCTGCACATAGCTACCATCAGCACTGTTTGACTAAACTGTCCCACTTGGGCCACGGATGTCCCTACTTCTCAGCCTTAGCTTTTAGATCTCACGGACCACTAAAACGTCAAAAAAGCTAACACCGTATTAAGATTCCCAACTTTTTATTTTAATACCCAAGTAAGTATTAATCAAAACAACTATCGTAAAACAATTTTTAACATGAAAAATGAACGTCATTGGAGCGCCTGGGTGGCTGCGTTGGTTAAGTGTCTGCCTTGGGCTCAGTCATGATCTTGGGGGCTCCTGGGATCGAGTCTCCCATCAGGCTCCCTGCTCAGCAGGGAGTCTGCTTCTCCTTCTCCCTCTACCCCTTCCCCCAGCTTGTGCTCTCTCTCTTGCTTTCTCAAATAAAATATTTTAAAAATAAAAAATAAAAAATAAATTTAAAAAGAAAGAAAAATGAAGGTCATATTTGTAGCAGAATAAAATGGAATAGATTTTGTTTTATGAAAAAAAAATTTTAAACCCTGATTATATTATCCTTTTCTTGTTTTGCCAAGGACTGGTGAAAACTTCCTAACAGACCAGCACCAGTCTGAAGACCATTGTTTAGAAACCTCAAGAGATGTTTTGTAAGGTCCCTTCTGGCTCAGGCTTTCTAGAATTAAAATAAGGATCATTAGGACCTGTTTTCCCTCTTAGTGTGTTAGTCCTCAAAATAGCTGACTGGGTGCTTAGAACGGCCCTTTTGCAAGGGCACCATGAACTCCAGTGTTGGTGCCCTACTTGGACTCACTCTGATTTTTTGTACCTCCTTCTCACCCTGCCTGCCAAACTCCCACATCCTCTCATTCCAACAAGCACACTTAAGCAATTCACCAAAATTACGTAGGAAAATCAAGGAACACTTTTTAAGGATTTTTTTTTAACCTTTTTTATTGTTATGTTAATCACCATATATTACATCATTAGTTTTTGGTGCAGTGTTCCATGATTCATTGTTTGTTCATAACACCCAGTGCTCCATGCAGAACGTGCCCTCCTCAATACCCATCACCAGGCTAACCCATCCCCCTACCCCCTCCCCTCTAGAACCCTCAGTTTGTTTTTCAGAGTCCATCATCTCTCATGGTTCGTCTCCCCCTCTGACATACTCCCCTTTTCTTCCTCTCCTGTTATCTTCTTCTTTTTCTTTTTTCTTAAAATATGTTGCGTTATTTGTTTCAGAAGTACAGATCTGTGATTCAACAGTCTTGCACAATTCACAGCGCTCACCGTAGCACATACCCTCCCCAATGTTTTGAAGCCGGCTGCTCTAAAGATGTCCGTACCCTAGGATCCTGTAAGCTCAGCCTTTGGACTCTATCCTAAAAATACACTTAAAGAGAAGCACTAAACACGACTTCGAGGTGGTGGGGCTGCGGGAGGGGAAGTAGTCAGAGACCCGCCCAGAGTGGGAGGGGCCGGGAACAACCCTCGCCCCACTCGCGCTGGGCTGGTCCCGCCCCTCGCACGAGCCCCTTTTTAAAAAGCGCGGGCGCGCCTTGCGCAGGCGCACTGCTACTTGAACTTAGCCGCGCATGCGCAGTGGTGGTAGGATGGC